TGCAGAGACCTGACTCTGGGGATCCCACAGGTCTGGTCAGGTGTTTGCCCCAATATCAAACAGTAAAGGTCATGATGCAAAGCARGAAAGGAACTTTGACCAGTGCAGCTACACCAGGAAGACAAGGAAACCCTGYCCTTATGCTGTCTTCAGGTGCTGACAAGGACTTTGAGGTTTTATAGAAGGACAATCATAGGCATGTAAAGAAAGGGAAAAGTGTATGTAGGATTCAGTATTATCTGTAGGACTTAGGCTYCAGGCATCTGTGGGTCTCATGTCTGTGAGCTCACACTCACTTGCCCCCTTGACACATGTCCCTCTACTGCACAGACTGACCTCATTTTGTCTCTCAGGAGGAAGTCCCCCTCCAGTGTATTGTTTCCGTGTCAAGGTTTCAGATGCACCAACATTTTCAAGGAAACCCACAAGCCCTAGAAAGAACATACCCCCAGAAGCTGACCCAGGGTGTCAGCTTCTGAAAGCAATTATCCGAGGTCCCAGGGTGGGGCGTGTCACCCCGCTCAACCAGGGAGCAGCACCTGTGCTGGCATCCCAGGCGCAGTTTCCGCAGCTCAGCTCCACCCAGTTCCCCCTTCTGCTCGGACTGAGCCCCCTCCTCCTGCTTGGCCCCCTACCTCCATCTGCACCCCAACCCAGCGCTGCTCTCCAGGCCAAGTTGAGAAGGCGCCCGGGGCTGGGTTTAGGTGATTCTGGGTCTCAGGACACCATAGCTTTATCCCCAGGGGCCGTCGCTAAACCCCTCCCCGGGCCTGAGTGGGGCCCGAGTTGCCGAGCGCCCCTCTGCTCTGGGGATCCTAAGGCTGCGGTTGGCGCTGCTGCAGAATCTTGTCCCCGGACCAAGGTCCACAATCCACCCCAACCTCTGCTGGCATCTCCACCCTGGTCCCGCCCGCCCTGCAGGCTAAATCCAATTAACCTGCAAACTCTGGCCTGGGMGGTGCCCTTGGGGACAGGTTCTCCTTTCTGGCTGCCCAGCGAGTTTGCGGCTTCTGGAGTTTTTTAACTGGGTGTGGCTTAGTATGGTGGAGGGGTCCATTTTTTATTCCCACTGTTATACCAGATTCCTGGGACCCCATAGACCTCCAGGAGCCGAATCTGCCTGTCACAGCCTCCCAAGCAGCTGGGATTACAGGCATACACCACCACGGCAGACAAGATTATGTTTATTAAGGAGACCTTGGGTCCTGGGAGCAGAGATGTCATAGAATCTCAGAAARTAAGTATGTTGTGTGCTGCTAGGTAGACTATCAAATGTACTGAGCATGATCCTGGGTTACAAATGCTCTGGGGTCAGAGGGTGCTGCTTCCCTGTGGAGAGGTAGTTGAGGAAGTTTGCTTGAATAGGGAAAGATGAGAAAGTTCAAAACATCACGTAACAGAGCATATTGTTATCTAATAACAGTTAAATCATAATGCAATAAAACATAAGCTCTACATTATGATTTCCAGCCTATTTTAATGCCCAATATCAATAATCATGTTGAAGTCAGGTGTAGTGGTGCACACCGATAATTCTAGTGACTCAGGAGGCTGAGAAAAGAAGACTGCAACATGGGAGTCAGGCTCAGCAACTTACCAAGGCCCTAAACAACTTAGAGTCTGTCTCAAAGTAAAATCTAAATGTTGGTATGCAGCTCAGTGCTAAAGCACCCTTGGTTCAATCCCTGGTACCACTACTACTATTAGTAATAATAATAACTAAAAAATATAATTGTGTTGATACATTTGCAGAATTGATAGCTTGACACTTATGGGGTAAGAAATTGGAGCCTCTGTGGGGACTTGGGCTACAAAGCCAACATTGTCAAATGTGTGGTTGACTCTGGAGAGGATGACCCAGCCCAGAGGATGCTGAAGATCTCAGAGGTGATGAGATGGGCTGGTGAAAGAGGACAGAGCTGGCCAAATATGCTGGCTTTCTGTTCCACAAAGCATGGGATTTGGTAAGAAAGTAGGGCTCCTAGGGTTGACCAGCTGCCATTTCTTTTCTTATCCCAAGATCCACTGAATTGAAGTTGGATTTGGCCATCAGGAAAATGTGGAGGTGGCTACAGGTGGTGACTGCCATGAGGTCATCAATAAGGATTCAGATTCTGTGGTCTACAAGCCCCTGGCCTGGCTGTTTTGTTACAGCAGCCCAGGAAGACTAATACAGTGACACACCAGCCCTCTGACCACTGCAATGACCTGAGTATGGGAGTCCCTCCAAAATTCTTATATAAAAATCTTTACCACAAAAGTGATGGTTTTAAGAATTAGGGGATTTTGGGAAGGGATGGGGTCCAGAGGATGGAGCCTTTGTTGCTCCTGAAAGCCATAAGCAAAGATTTAATTCCTTGTCACGTGCCATGACTTAACAGAGTCACCTTTGTCCTGTGGGGCTTTCCTCTTCTACTCCTTCAAGTCTGTGCAATTTGGAAACACCTTCTGTTTGCAGAGTGGTCTCCTCCAGGCTTGATTAGAGTCTTCTGTCTCAGCCTCTAATTGCAGGAAGTTCTGGTCTCTTTGCTGGGTGCTCAGAGTAGCCCCTGAGGGTGCATTTTATTCAGTGTGGTTTGTGCATTGTGACTTTAAGTGCTGATGTGGGGAATCACTGGTCATCATGCAAAGAATGCCTGAAGACAGACTAAGGAGCTGTTTGGACCAAGCTCCAGGCCTTTCCACACAGTTGGTCACTGCCCTTGGTCTTCTGTGTCGCACCAGCACAGGGTAAAAGGGCCATGGCAAGGCTTCAGCCAGGTCCTCTACAGGTTGTGCAGGATGCCCAGCTGCTGGGGAAGGGGCTCAGTGACCACTGATCCTCCTCCAAGGCCTGCAGGCCTCTGCCCATCACTTTGTGGAACCAGGGCTCTGAGATAGTTGTAAGGATGAGGGTCTTCCAGGGGACTCTTCAGAGAACAAAGAGCAAAGGCGGGTCAAGCTGGACCACTGGACCTCAAACCACAGCAGACCCCTTCCCCTTGGCAGGCTCAGGTGCACTCTGGCTCAAAGATCAGGGTCAGGAAGTGCACATTCCACAGGATTGTGCCTGCAGGGGGTCAAAAATCATAGAGAGATGACTTAGGACAACAGCGGGAATCATCCACGTGTCATCAGGAGGTGAACAGCACTAGGGGCGGTAGTGCATGTGTGGGTGGGGAATAACCTGTTCTCCTCCAGAGCAGAGAGAATGCGGCCTCCAATTAGATCCCACACAGACACATTTCACTACAATGAGACCTGAGAGTGTGACATCCAGAGAGCAGCGACTGCCTGACGATCTACACCTCAGGAAGGAAAAGCCACCCATCAGGATGTACCAGAGCCTGGACGGATGTCTGTCTGCGCAGCCTGCTGTGCCCTGGCACACCTCCACATCAAAGGCACAGCCGAACAGATCCCGGCCCTGTCTGGCTCCTGGTCGACCCTGAGTCCCTTTAGCTCACATCTTCCTTCACTATGCTCTTTTTAGAGAAACACAGCTTATTTTATAAAGATTCTTAGAGATCAAAATTAGTTTAAAATTTTCTTTCACTCCAGTCAAAATGGCAGCTTTTAAGAACAAAAAACACATTATGTGTTGGCAAGGATCTGGGGAAAAATGGACTCTCATACATTGCTGGAGGGAGAGCAGGTTGGTGCAATCAATATGGATAACTCTATGGAGATTCCTTGTCAAACTGGGAATGGAGCCACCATTTGAACCAGCTATCCCACTCCCGGGTTTACACACAAAGGATTTTAAAACATTATATTAGAGTGACACAGCCATATCAATGTTTATAGCAGCAAAATTATAATAGCTAATTTGTAAAACCAGGCTAGATGCTCTTCAATAGATGAGTGGATTAAGAAACTGTGGTATATATACACAATGGAATATTATTCAGCATAAAAAGAGAATAAAATTAGGATATTTGCAGATAGATGGGTGCAGATGGAGAATATTATGCTAAATGAAGTAAGCCAATTTCCCAAAAAAGCAAAAGTCAGATTTTTTTTTCTTATATTAGAATGCTGATTGACAAAGGGGATGGGGGAGAGCATGGGAG